CCCCAAAACCCCAAAACCCCATCATTCAAGAACTTTGAAAATTATAATTAGTGAAATAAATCCTTATAATCAAATCATTATACATACTGGGGATATAGAATAGTATGCCAAATATTGTAGACTATATAGTAGGGGAATATTACTATGGCACTAGCAACAAAAATTGAAAGCCAAAATTATGGTTAATGCATAATATCGCTAAATCCAATAGCATATAGCTCACCACCTTCTAGAATATTTTCAAATGCGACAGTAATAGGCAAAAATATACTAAATGAAAAAATGTAAAAAGCCACTGTCATCCATGTCCAGTTTCTAGTACAGAAAATTATCATGACATGATGTGAAAGCACCATTATAAATATAGAAGCAAAACCTGAAGCCCAGACACCCTCTGTTTTGCCATCTGAGGAAACAATTGCATGATAATAAGCATACTAGGAAATCAGATAAATAGGTATGCTTGAAATGAAAACATAAACCAGCCAAAACCAATACTGCTTCACTGTTGTGCTTATTACTAAATCTCTTCCATGTTTGTAGTATTAAGATAGTTTAATCTTGAGTTATTTTTCATTCCCAGTTAGTTTGAAGTCTATATCCTAATCAAAAATACAATAAGCGACCACAGCCACTGTAGTTAAACTAACATCGTATGTTGAATAAAATAGGTCTGAATATAAACTTTAGCCTGAAAATCCATTCTAGATACTAAAGTAAAGGAGGGTAGAACTGTAGATACTATTCTTGTATATAAACCATTTGACAAAGTTAGAGAATCTGACTCCGAATGTTCTTCCGTGCCAAAATAATAATCTTCGTAAACTTTTGAAGTTTGGCAAGGCATAATCTGAAAACTATGCTGCTTAATTACCTTCTTTTCCAATTATACCAATACCGACATGAGCTCGTTGAATCATGTTAACATCATTAGCTCCATCACCGACTGCGAGGGTTATAGATCCTTGAAATTTCTTTTTGACTAGATCAACTATGTCTGCTTTCTAAGCTGGCGAGCATCTGTATATAATTACAGCTTTACTAAATTTAAGTACTTCCAGTAATCTCTCTGAATAACTCTCATCTGACATTAAATGAGTGATCTTGCTTCCAGATATCATAAGTCCCATCTCTTAATTTATGGCAGGGACTATAGATAAGTACTCTTTATCGCTTATTTCTAATAATTTGTAATTATAGATAAATATTTACTTAAAGGATCTGCATCCTAACCAAATTCCTCTTCAATTTTCTCAATTTTATATTTAGATCTAAACAATCCACATGAGTATCCTATAGCCTCTGCTGTTTCACCTTTATCCCCAGTTAGCATCCAAACATTAATATTTGCATCTTAGAATTCATTAAGGCATACATCAACATCTTCTTACAGGAGATCCTCTACTGCTGTCACTCCTAATAGTTTCAAATCTTTTTCAATTTCATTCTAATCTAAGTCACCATACCTATCATCAAGGTCCAATTACTCAAAGAAAAGTTCTCTCATACAAAAGACTAGAGTTCTATAGCCTTTCTTAGCAAAGTTATTTATGTATTAAAGAGTAACCTCATCTTGCTGTGATTTTTATTAAATTAATGGAATCATAGCTCCATCAGCTCCTTTAGCAAGCAAGAAAATCTGACCTGTTTACCTACTTTTTAATATGACACTCATCATTTTCCTTTCTGAAGTGAATTCAAATATTTTCAATATTTCAAACTACTCGATTTCCCCATCTAATTCGATAGTTGATGTATCAGAATCTCTTTTGATAAATTTTGCAAAATTTGACTTCTCAGCCATGTGTAGTAATGACAACTCGTCTTAGGATGATCCAGATAAAATGGTCTTTCCTGTTTTCTATTGAATGCTTTAAATTTCATGACAGAGGCAAATGCATCGCCAAAAGTTTAAAAAATCCTCATTGTTCTTCCTAAGTTAACAAAACTCTTTGATGTTATGTATTTCATCGTCAAAATCTACTCCAACACAAGCAAATGCCTTATATTAAAGTTCATTTTATGTGAGAGTACCTGTCTTATCACAAAGCATGTAGTTGACATTTCCAAGTTCTTCATGCAATGTTAAATTTTAAACTCTGCATGTGCTTAACTGACCATCTTACTCATCAATTGTTAAAAATTAAGCGTCTCCCTCCATAAATTTAGCATACCAGACCTTCGAAATTTCTAATGTAATAACAAGAGCTTGAGGTATTAGATTGTTCATCAATATATAGAAAGAAAAGAAGCCATTTATCGCATAGTACTTAGAGTCAATCTCTGATTCTGGAAACACATATCTCATCTAAGTTCCATTTTCTTCAATGAAAAAATACATCTTAAAAGCCATTATTACTGATACTGCTAGAATAATGATGACATTTATTAGCAAGATGAAGTTTGCTTATTTTTCAATCTAAGACTGCTTATAATGGTATGATCCTTAGTTAAGAATAATTTTTGTCTCTGCCCCTGTATATATTACCATCGCCAATACCTTATTTGAATTCCTCAAAAGGGATCCCTATACAAATATTTAAAATCTAATTTGATATCTTACCGCATGTATGAACTGATTGAACTCAAGATTAAAATGCTATGAATCATTGGAATTTTGAAAGTTCAAAAGGGCCTTAAATTTATAGAGATTCTTCTCAGGTTCATTTATTTATACCTAAAATCTAATACTGGGATCTGCCAGCAACTTGTCTAGATTTTCCTAAATGAACTTAAGAGCAAGTTTGGGCTTCAAGTTTTTTTCACCATCAAGTGAAGATGTTTGGACGAAGCACTAGCCATTATCATCAGAAGTAGCTAGTAAAATACAATCTGCTGGGATTATTTAATCATCAGCTAGTTCAATTATGTCTCCCACCCTAATATCAGCACTTTACAATTTTCCTTTGGTATTGATATCTGTTGAAAGTATTTTTTAATAAAGTCTACTATTGCTTTATCTATCATGCTTCCATCTCTTAAGATCTGCAATTAGCTCTCTTATCATACCTAGTAGCACAACAACAGCTAATGGAATTATAGTTGCTAGAGGACTGTTTGTACTTATACTAGGAATACTTTGAAGGATACCGTTGAACAAATAAAATACGTTAACTACTCTTGTGAATTGGACCAGCAATGAAACTGGTAGAAAAGTTAGTCTAAATAAATGGGATAGAATCATTGATAAATGCAAAATAAATAATTCATTATATAAAGAGTTTAAAGGATATCTCTAGGCAACTTACACATTGTACTTAGTGGATGAAATTTTGTTATTTTTAAGTCTTTTTTACTAGGGTGAGACCTGGTCTCTAAGAACAGTAGGGACTATAGATCTTAACTTATCCATTGATTTGAATTAATTGTATAAATATTTCTCCCCTTTATTAATTCGCATTTAATTTCTAATAATCATACAATCCAATTTGTAATACTCTAGCGGGGTTTTGGGGTTTTGGGG